GGGGTGGGGGTTGGGGGTGGGGGTTGGGGGTGGGGACAAAACGAAACACCTCCCTATCCTATCAGTGATTTTCCTGGGCTGAAGCACTGATGGATTTTCTCTTGTTTTCCATTCAAGGAAACCACAGTAGCACTCACTCACACCCACCCACAGACACACATGGAGAGAGTGAGAGAAAGATAGAAAGGGAGAGGGGGAGAGAGGGAGGGAGAGAATGAGAGAGAGAGGAAGAGGGAGAGGGAAAGGGAGCAAGAAAGAGGGAAAGGGAGAGAAAGAGAGAGAGAGAGGATGGAGGGAGAGAAAGAGAGGGGAAGAGTGGGGGAAGAGAGGGAGGGAGAGACAGAGAGAGGAAAAGAAAGAGAGGAAGAGAGGGAGGAAGGGAGAGGGAGGGAGAGAATGAAAGAGAGAAAGAGGCAGAGAGAGAGGGGGAGGGAAAGCGAGAGAAAGAGAGAGAAAGAGAGAGGGGAGAGAATGAGTTAGAAAAAGAGAGGGAGAGAGGGGAGAGTGGGGAAGAGAAAGGGAGAGAGAAAGTGGGATGGAGAGAATGAGAGAAAGAGAGAGGGGAGAGGAGGGAAGGAGAGAATGAGAGAGAGAAAGAGAGGGAGAGAGGGGAAGAGAGGGAAAGAGTGGAGAAGAGAGAGGGAGAGAGAGAAAGAGAGGGGGAGGGAGAGACTGAGAGAGAAACAGAAAGAGAGGGGAGAGGAGGGAAGGAGAGAAAGAGAGAAAGAGAGAAAGGGCGAGGGGGGAAAGAGAGGGAAAGAGAGTGAGGAAGAGAGAGGGAGAGAGAGAAAGAGAGGGGGAGATGGGGGAAGGAGAGAATGAGAGAGAGAAAGAGAGAGAGGGAGAGAGAGAGGAAAGAGAGGAAGAGAGAGACAGAGAGAAAGAGACAGAGAGAGAAAGGGAGAAGGAGATAATGAGAGGAAGAGAGGAAGGGAGAGAATGAGAGAGGGGGAGTGGGAGAATGAGAAAGAGAAAGAGAGGGGAAAGGAGGGAGGGAGAGAATGAGAGAGAGAAAGAGAGAGGGGAAAGAGAGTGGGGAAGAGAGAGGGAGAGGGAGACAGAGAAAGAAAGAAAGGGAGGGAGAGAATAAGAGAGAGAAAGAAAGAGAGAAGGGGAATGAGTGTTGAAGAGAGAGAGAGGGAGGGAGAGAGACAGAGACAGAGAGAAAGAAAGCTTTCTCAAAAGCCACAAAAGCAGACACAACAAATGAGAAGGCGAGAGAAAGGAAACAGCTCACAGGGAACACCGAGTGATCACGTTGCCCACTTCCAGACAGCCAAGAGAGAACCAGGCCAAGGGCGGAAGAGCGGAGGCCGCGCCGTGGCTAAAACTCCCGCAGAGATAAAAATTATTACCTCATCCTCAAGAGCACTTTGGACGTGGCCAGGAGGAACAAGTGCCTGTCGCTCCTGCCAAGCTCCTTTGGCCAGCGGAACTAAGGGTGCCTTGTCATAGCGACAACACAGCCCAGGGAGATGCCAGGACTGGAAACGGGCTCGCAACACACATGCACAAATATTACTGGCACGGTTTGCCTCCACCCTAATCAGCGACGAGGCTTAATTGGAAGCCGTCTGACGCTGGAAAAACAAAATGTCAAGGCGAGGATTGGTGGTTGCATCCGGTGTGGCTGACACCTGTCCTTGCTTTGCTCTATAATTTTGTACAGGCAAAATCCCCGTAAATGGCTTCCCTATAAATACATCTCAGTCCATGGGGGAGAAATCTCAATGGCCACCTCTGAGAACTGACCCACAATATCTAAAAGCGGGAATTAGCATGCGTGACAACCCCAAATTACGAGCAGGAAGTCTCAGGATGGAGGGTGTTTTGGGGAAAAGGAAAAACGTCAACAAAGGCAAATCCTTTGCCGGATCGCCGGATATCAAAACGTTTCGTCCACCGGACACCGAAAGGGCCGTGTTTTTAATTCTAAATTTCATTCGCAGCTCAGCAGCGTCTGAGAAGTTTGACTGTCCCAGGCTGGACATCCGCTACATTTTTTTTTTATTATTTTATTTTAATTCAAACATCATCTTCCATTAAGCAGCGTATCATCTGGGTACATGTATTTTGTGCAAATGTTTTATGCAGTAACAATTTACAGCCATATTTATTTTTTTATCTATTCTTAAAGGGAAAGGTTCCCCTCGCACATATGTGCTAGTTGTTCCCGACTCNCCTTAGGCATGAAAACTTGCTGGGTGACTTTAACCCAATCACCTGGTGACTGTGAGTTCTAGTGTTGCCATAGGGATGAAAGTCGACTGCATGACTTTGGGCCAATCACCTGGTGACTGTGAGTTCTAGTGCTGCCTTAGGCATGAAAGTTGGCTGCATGACTTTGGGCCAATCACCTGATGACTGTGAATTCTAGTCCCGTCTTAGGTATGAAAACTGGCTGGGTGACTTTGAGCCATTCACCAGCAGACAGGGAGTTCTAGCCCCGCCTTAGGCATGAAATCTGACCAGATGACTTTGGGCCCATCACTAGGAGATGGTAAATTCTAGTCCCGCAGTAAGTGTGAAAGTCAGACTGGTGACTTTGGGCCAATCACCAGGTGACCATGAATTCTAGTCCTGTCTTAGGCATGAAACCAGCAGGGTGACTTTGGGCCAGTACCCCTTTATCTTTCTCAGCCCAACCCACCAGCACAGGATTGTTATTGTGTGGGGGGAAAGGAGGAGGAAGCTGTGTATTTATACAAATAATAAAGGTGGAAGACAGACAAACACAACACAACGATTTACAGAAGACCCGCAAACTTATGAACCCAACAGCTAAAGCAATTCAGAATATTACAGAAAAGGTACTCAGCTAAACATCCTCCCCGCGGGATGGTCCCCCCCTTAGAAACCGGAAGAGGTTAGGTGGGATGAATAGGGAAAGATGGGGGGGAAATTGGGGGGAGATACTAAAACAACAGGATTAAAAAGGAGAAAAAAGATTGGAAAGAAAAAAAACATAGAAATTTTAAGATTAAGAAAAAGAAAGAAAAAACCTAGGCAAATGGGTGGAGAGGAGAGAATATGAGAGAAGTGAAGTTCCTGAGAGACTCGGAGAAAATGGTTGAAAGGAGGAAAGAAAGAAAAGGATTCGCTAGTAGAATAGAATGAAACTTGGTAAATAAAGCCAACGGTATATATTCGATATGATGGGAGAGAAATAGATTAACAGTATTAACTTGCAAATAATTAATGAAATGAAATGTTTACTGCATAAATATAAATTTGAGGATACATGTTATTAAAACAGAATAATAGATGGAAATGATGTTACGTTTGATTAATTTAGCGAGGCAAATAATGAGATTGTTTATATATTAAGAAGAAATTAACACTAAGCGGAAGAATATGGAGTGAAAATAAGAGGACTGAAATGTAAAATGAAAAGAAAATGTAAAGAAGGGGAAAACCGGATGACGTTTATAAAAGTGGTAATATTTTTTTTTTT